CCTAGTGATTTAATAACTCATAATGATGTAAAAACAATCTCTAAATTGCTACTATATGAAAAATTGTATACATGTGTATGAATACGACCTAAAATTCAAAAGAAATGGATTATAATAGTAGTAGCGATTGTATTCGGAAGCGCTACTAGTAATTAGCAGTAGTGATTCGCCTGCAAAGCACTACTACTAAGTAGATATAGCAGTAGCGAGGGCCAGTAGGCGCTACTGCTAAGCTTTAGCTGTAGCGCATTATCAGTAGCACGCGTACCCGCACTACTGATAGGCCAAAAACCAGCCCTACTGCTAGGCTTTTCCCTAGTAGTGTCCGCTCTTCAATCGACGTGATGCACGTAACGAAGAACCTTTGCGTGAACCTGCTAGTGTTCTTGGGCGTGTATGGGAAGACAAAAGATACACCGGAGGCACGGGAGGACCTGCAACGTTTGCACAAAAAAGATGGCATGCCTCCAAAGCAGTATGAAGGTCTTGCGAACTACACTCTTACCAAAGAAGAGAAGGAAATATTCTTTGAATGCCTTTGGAATGCTCGTTTGGGACACCCGAACTCCACCACTTTGCGTCAAATACTTAAGAGCTTTTCATTCTCATGCAATAAGATCGACGACCATACTTGTGAGGCTTGTCGTCTTGGCAAACACATTCGTCTTCCCTTTAACGCATCTACCACTATTTCCACTTTTTCATTTAAGTTATTGCATAGTGATGTTTGGACATCCCCGATTGCAAGCAACACGGACTACCTATACTATTTGGTGATCTTACATGATGTCTCTCATTATGTGTGGACATTTCCTCTTCGTCGCAAGCCCGACGCTCTTGCCAAACTCACTGCATTTTATTCCCACGTCACCACACAGTTCGGTTGTCCTATCCTTGCTTTACAAACTGACAACGGAAAAGAGTTTGACAACGCCGCTGATCGTAACCTTCTAGCCTCCCACGACACTATCTTCCGCCTCACTTGCCCCAACACGTCCCAACAAAATGGTTGTGCCGAGCGTATCCTTCGCACTCTTAATGACTGCGTCCGCACGTTACTCTTTCACTCTAACGTGCCTCCCCGGTTTTGACCGGATGCTCTCGCCACTGCCACCCTCCTCATTAAAATCCGTCTGTGTCGCCCACGCTGGAACTATGCCCCTCACTATCTCCTCTTTGGTGCGCCCCCATCTTATGATGGCCTTCGCATCTTTGGTTGTATCTGCTATCCTAGCCTCGCCGCCACTGCGCCTCATAAGCTTGCACCTTGTTGAGTCGCTTGCATCTTCCTCGGCTACCCACCTAACACCAAAGGATACCGCTGCTACGATCCTGTCTCACATCGTGTATTCCCCTCCTGACACTTTTACTTTAATGAGACGGTGTTTCTATTTCAGCAGGTACCTCCCGCCGCCCTGTCGCCGCCGGCCACCGGCGGCCCTCCCGCGACCCCGTCAGGTGGACGGCCCCGCTCGATTCTTGGACCGCCTCTGTGCTTCCGCGGTCCTCCCGTCATGGGACGAGCTACGACTCGCGCCCCCATGACGTCCTCGCCGACTCTGTCAGGGGCCTCAGCATCGCCCGCCTCGCCAGCATCTTCGCCGGCAGCGGCTGCTTCACCAACATCTTCGCCGGCTGCCCCGTCGCCGGTATCTTCACCGGCTACCTCAGGCGCCGCCCCGTCGCCGGCTATCTCGGTCGGCCCCGCTGCCTCGGGTGCCTCAGGCGGCGCCCCCGCTTCGCCCGCCCCCTACGCCTCGGGCACGAGCGGTTTGGCGGCCTCGGGCGCGGGCGCTTCAGCGGCCTTGGGCACGGGCGCTTCGGCGGCCTCGGGCGACGCTTCTTCACCGGCCATCTCGCCGGCGGCCTCGACGGCTGCCTCGCTGACCGCCTCTCCAGTCACCAAGTTGCCATCTCGCCCCGTCACTCAGGCTAGAGCCGGCGTTCATCGCCCGAGTCTACGATACTCCAGCGACGAGTATCTTCTCGCCGCCTCCACCACTGAGCCGTCACCGATCCCTGCGTCCGCTCGCACAGCCCTTCGTGATCCTCACTGGCTTGCCGCGATGCAGGAAGAGTTCGACGCTGTTCAGCGGAACCGTACCTGGACACTGGTTCCTCGGCCTTCTCGCGCCAATGTCATTAGCAGCAAGTGGGTCTTTGGCCATAAGACCCGCTCGGATTGTACACTTGAGTGCTACAAGGCTCGCTGGGTGGTCCGTGGTTTTCGGCAGTGCGCTGGAGTTGACTTCACCGAGACGTTTGCCCCGGTTGTCAAACCGGGCACGATCCGCATAGTTCTCCAGCTTGCAGTTTCCCGAGACTGGCCAGTTCATCAGATGGATGTCTCCAACGCCTTCCTTCACGTCCATCTTGAGGAGCAGGTTTACTGTGAGCAGCCGACCAGTTTCGTCGACGCATCTCTTCCTGGGCATGTGTTTTTACTATCGGTCTCTCTACGGGCTCAAGCAAGCACCTCACGCCTGGTACCAGCATATCGTCGGGTTCCTTCAGACACTGGGCTTCAGCTTGACTCGCTCGGATGCCTCGTTGTTCGTCTATCACCGCGGCGACACGACTGCATATTTGCTCCTCTACGTCGACGACATCATCCTAATGGCCTCCTCCGCAGCCCTTCTTCAGCAGATTACTCTCTGGCTGCATGATGAGTTTGCCATCAAGGACCTGGGCGCTCTACATTATTTCCTTGGCATTGAGGTCGTTTGGCGACACGACGGCTTCTTTCTTCATCAGCAGAAGTATGCACACGAGCTACTTGAGCGTGCCGGCATGCTCAACTGTCACCCTGTTGCTACTCCTGTTGACACGAAGACCAAGGTTTCTGCTCTTGAGGGCTCTCACGCGTCGGATGCTCCGTTCTACCGGTCCATTGTTGGTGCTCTTCAGTATCTGACTCTCACCCGGCCAGATTTACAGTATGCTGTTCAGCAGGTGTGTCTGCACATGCACGCCCCTCGCGACTCCCATTGGACCCTCGTGAAGCGGATTCTTCGTTACATCCGCGGCACGATGGCTCTTGGGCTTACTCTCACGGCGTCCACTTCTCTGGAGATGGTGGCCTACTCCGACGCGGACTGGGCCGGTTGCCCCGACACCCGTCGGTCCACCTTTGGCTACTGCGTTTACCTCGGTCCTTCACTCGTCTCGTGGTCGTCCAAGCGACAACCTACGGTTTCGCGCTCTAGCGCGGAGGCTGAGTACCGAGCTGTGGCTAACGCCGTCGCCGAGTGCACCTGGCTACGACAGTTACTTCAGGAGTTGCATCGTGACATCTCCCAGGCTACGGTTGTCTACCGTGACAACGTTTCTGCGGTGTACTTTTCTGCCAACCCCGTTCATCATCGTCGGACTAAGCACGTTGAGCTGGACATTCACTTTGTGCACGAGCAGGTGGCCCTTGGACGTATTTGGGTACTCCATGTTCCGACTGCGCAACAGTTCGCCGATGTGA